GTTATAAGCTAACCTTTCTTTATCAGCCATCGCGCCAATCAAGTGCTATAAAAAATGAGAAAAGTGTGGGTATTGAAGCATAAAATTAAATGAAATCAAATACCGGTAGAGGGCGCAAACTACAAACCTAACTAAGGTACTTGTAACCAAAATGAGGCTATTGTGTTGACAGGTTGTCTATATACACGAAATAAAAGCGCGCCTTCACAGCAATAACAACTCCCTGTGTTCACAAAAACTCGGAAAACTGGCTGTTTTTTTTTGTTTTTTGTTTTTTTGTTGTTTTTTTTTTATGTTTTTGTTTTTATTTTTGTCTTGCTTAGGCCTTTTTCACGAACCGGTAGACATCTTGAAGTGATGACAAACATTGCGAATCAGCGGTGCGTAACCAACAGATATAAGATAAGCTTTTGGGCTGATTTTCTGATATCATGTACAGGTATTAAAAAAATCATAACTCCATAACGGGGCGTCGTATCCAAACAATTTTTCCAGCAAAATGTTCTTAAAAGACTAGTCTACACCACTATATGATTAAAATAGAATTGAAAAATGTTTTTGACCTCTGAAATCAAGATGGAATAAGAAAAGCCTAAAACTAAGTAGTGTATTAAAATAGGCTTATGCATTTACAGTGCAGTAGCATAGTACTTTCGTGTTGTTTACTGTTCCAGGTACCGATGATATAGAGATTTCTCTTATTATGAAGTACAAGTTATGTTTTATAAAGAAGTATAGTACTATAGTAAATCATGTTTTTTACACAGGAAACTCTCATATGGTAACTAAAACAATGCTAGTTCTGAGTAATTACTAGTACTATTGCACTGTAATGCATAGACCTATTTTAATACATAGGCTTTTCTTTTTCCATCTTGATATTCAGAGGTCAAAAACAGTTTCAATTTTTTTTAATCATATAGTGGTGTAGACTAGTCTTTTAAGAACATTTTGCTGGAAATTTTTTTTGGATACGACGCCTCGTTATGGAGTTATGATTTTTTAAATAACATGATGTCAGAAAATCAGCCCAAAAGTTTATCTTATTTCTGTTGGTTACGCACCGCTGATTCGCAATGTTTCATTCAAGATGTCTACCGATACGTGAAAAAGGCTTCATTTAAATAAAAAATAATACAGAGCTAACTTATACTACAGATATTGTATTTGTTCATTAGTAATTGAAATTAATTAAAAATTCAACATTATGTGGCTTAATTTGTTGAACTAATAATGAACCCCTGCACGTACCCCGGCAATGAACCAAGAGTTGTCCACCAGATCCTTTGCGGATCACTACTATGGTTATATACACGTAGTTTTCGTGTGCATAGCACTGAGTGACCTAGGTCACGGTACCAAACCACGATGTGGAAAAGCCGGAGCCGAGAGCTAGAGCATTGTTGAACAATTTTGGTCGACACATACCTGAGTACATATTTGCCTATTATTTGCACATTTTTATTTGATACTACAACGTATATCTAACAAAACCTGTATTTGTATCATAATATAATGGAAGCAAGTATGAGTAATGAGGCATTGACTACTACCGAAGAGGAACAAGTAACTAAAAATGATGTTGTAGAACAGGTAGAAGATTCCGGCGAAATGGAGGCCGCGAAAGACGCCAACGATGAGGTACAATGCCCAGAGAGCGAAAGCGTGTTAGAGGCCTCGGATAACAAACAGGCTACATCAGATAGCGAGGCAGAGAAGGCTACAGAAGAATCGGTAGAAGAAGATAATAACGACAAAGATACCTCTAAAGAAGTTGATGAGTCAGCTGTTGATGAAAGTAAAGTTGAAAATTCAAACAAAGAAAACGATTCATTAGTTGAAGAAGAAAAGCCGGATGATAACAATGGTTTAGGCCTAGATGAGGAAAAGGATGATTCGAAAGAAAAATCAGTAGAGGATTCTGAGAAAGATAATGAGAAAGATACTAGTAACAAAGTGGATTATGCTAGCTTGGCACCATGGTTTAATGAGGAAATTCATCGCTTGTGCAAGAAAAATATTCAGCTTTACAAGCGAGCACGTGAACAAAAAAACCAAACAAAATTATGGGATGAATTTAAGGGCCATCAGCGTGAAGTTCACCAGTTGATTCGCAAAACTAAGCGTGAATACCAGTCAACGAAGGGTTTATCAGACGAGGAAATGGCAAAATTATCCACAAAGTCGTCAGCGAAAGCCAAAGAATTTGGTCTGCTTGAGCTGGATGCTGAAGCAATAACTGACGGACGAAACCTTAAAGAATCTGACAACAGAGGGGGTTCACATAAACGAGGCCACGGCGATGGCTGGGTGTCCCCACAGGAAAAGAGGAGGCGAGACCAAGTAATGAGAGAATACTACAAAATGTATTACTGATGTTTTGTACAAACTTTAATTCCTGCTTATGTTGGTTGACAATCTTCTCTAAAAAAGTAACAAAGGTTACTCTTCTAAAAAAGGGTTCCCTTTTTGGATTAAAAATACTCCTTTACAGCTTTTCACGGTTTTGTTATATTTTTTTAACTGATCTGGTTGGCTCCAGATGTCTGTAAATTTTCCCATTAATTAGTTAATTTGTTTCTTTTGTGACATTCATATTCAAATATGCCTGATCAACTTGTAATAATATAGCTCATGACAACTGTAAGAAATATGTTATGTACTGTAATATGCAAAATCGAATATCATTTTTTTTTAATGAATAAACGTCAATATGTATATTATAATGAAGAATGTTCTAAACCTATGGCTGGCAGTAGCACTTAAAGTATATTAAACATTTCATCAATCAACAAAATACTATTGTTAAGCACTGCTAGTTTTTGGAAAAAAAATCTTTTAATGAAGTTATGAAGATTAGTATAATATATTTTCTATTGGCTACATACAGTAGTTTATGTTAAATATTCATTGGACAGTCTTGACGTTTGAATCTGTACGTTTGAATAAATTCCCAAACTTTTAAACCTGTAATGGATGTAGCATCGTATGTATTTATTCTCCGTCTAAATGTGACAATCTCTACATTAGTGGCAAATCCAGGAATTCAAATTAAATGGGGATGAGAAAGGGACTTTTACAGATCAGGTCTATGCCACCTCGGCCCCACCATGGTTAGGGCACAAATCAAAATTTTATGGCTATGATACCTCTAGATTGCCAGAAATGGCACTCTCAAATGTTAATTTTAATTTTCCCCTTTATTTCTATGAGTGACCAGGACGGCTGGCACCCTTCCCCACTTGAATCTGCCACTGACCAAGTGAATAAGCAATGCCCAACAGAGTTGGTGGGATAATGGACAATGTATCAGTTACATGTTGGTACTGGCACTGTACTGCCGGATTGTACATAGGAGCCCAGCCAAAATTTTCAATTTAAAATATTAAAATTTGACAAAGAAAATATATTTTTTTATTTTAACTGTTTCGTATTAATAAAAAAATAATTAATAATGCAGTGTAATAATACTACTATTATATTAAATTTGCATCAAATCAGATAGGAATTTATGTACTGCATAAGCACCATGGTGCTTATTTGGTCATTTGTAAGGCCTACTGTATTGTTAATTCAATTAAATCTATGCAAAGCGATACACAAAAAATGATGTAAATCAATAAAATTCAAACATTCCAACTTGAACATTTAAAAGCAAGCGAGTCGAATGGCTGAGCAGTTAAGGCAGGGGCATCGCAACCTACAGTCATAATAGCACAAAATAAGAAATGTTCTTTGGATCTCAATTTTATTTATACTGCTCTCATCATTGCTTCAAGGGTGGAAACCTTGGTTCGAAAAGCGAGGGTTGAGGTGTTCCTATTTATATATTTTTATTGCCAACAATAATAAACTAAATAAATATTGGATGTGATATAGACAGCGCCACAAAAAAAACAGCTGAAGTGTTTCTCCATCATTTAATTTACAATAACAAAAAATAAACTAAAGTGAGATTATGCAATACATAAACTAATATTTATAAAATAAATTTTAAAAGTTAAAAAAAAAAAACAACAGCAATGTTAATGTCGGACTGAATTCAAGAATACGACTGGTATTTAGATTTGATACCTTGATTTTTTCTTTTTTTTCTTGATTTATTATTCTTATTTCGTTTTACTATTAAGCTTTTGTTATGTATGTTCATGTGTGTGAATAAATAAATTAAACGAACAAACCTATTGTGCAGTCCAGGAAGCTCTGAACCTAGGCTGGATTTTGGCTATTTCAATCTCTTATCTGACAGTGGCCTAACAAAGAGACCGGGGGCCTCTTTGACCTTACAACATTGTGGGCTGCTGGGTTCAACATTGTGGGCTGTTGGGTTCCACTGGAGTACAGAGCAAACCCATATCTTCAAATTTTGATGTTTTAAATGTATACTGTATTTACAGTATTTGATGTTTTCTAAAATATTCTGATCCTTAAAATCATGGCCACTAGGCCGATTTGGCCAAAAATGAAAAATACTGATAAATATACCAAGACCCTTAATGTGAGGGCCCTGGCTTAGCTAGTAAGAACGCATAACTGTTGCGCCACTGGACACACTACCACTATGTGTATTTTGTAGCCCAAGATAATTTTAATAAAAAATAAACAAAAGAAACTCAAATTTAAAATTCATTGCCATATTTATTATTGTATTTTCTAGTATTTAATCGGCTATTAAAAACATGAAATGATGAGTAACTGGTTATATTCACGATAAATAGAGAATTTGCTAAAATATAAACACCTTTAAAGAGCCCTCAAATTCCCTTATCCCTGTGTTTAATTTTTCAGTACGGGAGTTGCTAAACACAGATCAATAAGAGTTCATTGGTGTTTTTAATGGTTACTGCAATCCATCGTTTCGCAAACTTTTAGACCGACAACCCAATTAGGAAATTCGAAATCAGTTTGCAACCCAGTGACCCTTTGTTGAGGAGACTTCTTTTATACATTGTTTCGCGAACTTATTTGTTCATAGATTGTCAGAGGAGAGCGGAAGAAAAATAAAATTTAGTATTCTTATTCAGCAAATGGTTTTGCAAAATTATCCACTTGGAGGAGGAAATAAATATAAAATGTTATTGTTGAATGAGATGGTTAAAATAATGCTTCAAATTTATATAATTAGGAAGAACTAAATACATATCTTATTTTTGGAGATTTTAAGGCAGCAGCGGGCGTAATAAGAATAAAGAAAAACTTTTTCTTTTTTTCTGAAATTTGGTGTGCTATTTGGCCAAAAATATAATTTTTTTTATTCAAAATAATCAATATTGGTGGGTGGCTGGTTCGAGAAGAAAGGTACCCTGTATAAAAAAGTCTCCCCTTATGCAGATGCATAATTTTGAAGAGCAAAGGTCTATATTGTGCTTACATTATCCAACATGTGTTTCACTTCAGTGTATTTTATCCTGCCCTGGTTTTACTATGGTAGATTTTCTTACCTAAATATGCATCATTAAATCTTTATTAATTATTAATAAAATATTTTGTTGGTAAAATGTAACACTGAATATTAATACAAAATTACACATTTTTTCATGCATATTGAAGCTGATATACAGTGACAGGTGACAGCTGATTTATGATGATTTCTGTCAAGTTTGTGACCCGCTAAAATGTTTTGGCGACCCACTGCTTGCGGAACCTTGCCGAAATCAATTATAGGTAGTGCCCCCACCCCTTCTCAATCCCCTCATCATTAATGTGCAACCCCTTTTAATGTCTAAAGCGTACCTCTGTACATATGATGATTCATAACACTGCAATAACTTTTACATTTATGGTATTTCCTCTAAAATATTACAAGAATATTTTATTTAGATATTAACACTACCAGTAGTATCATTAAATCTAATACTTTTGAAAATCATTACACTGTATCTAATATCCCCAGATTACATAATGAATTGTGATTAATGTTCACAAATATCTGTAGCAATGACTGCCCTCACCACCCCCCACCCCACCAACCCAGAAAATGTCACTGCCTGGCAAAGTACTTGGAGGCATTAATTATGCGCCATATTATTTATTCATAGCAGATACCTTTCATGATCAGTATAGTAGTATGAATAAACATGACTACAATATAACTATCAAAATAAGAACACTAATAACAATAATAATAATTAATAATAATAATACTGTAATAATAATAATAATAATAATAATAAAAATAATAATAATAATAGAACTATAAAACCTACAATCACACTTACATTGAGGGAAAAACACAGCACCTATAATATAGCAGAAGGAGCAACTATTAATTGCTTTTTAGTTCTTGCTAACTGTTTACTACTATTTATTGTTTGTAATTTTGTCTCGAATGCAAGTGCTTTGTAAAAATAGCTTTGTTTCTTTTATCTCAAAAGGCAAACAACTTATAATAAAGCTGTGTCCAGGCTATCAAACTTTATTGGACAAAAACATGTGACATACCTAAATATGGTCATGATGACATCACATCATGACCATATATAGGCACATCATGACTATATATAGGCATACAACAGTTTTTCCGTCAAATAAAATTTGATAGGCTGGACAGAGCTTAAGGCCAAAAAAATGGTTATGCTGTCCAATCAGTGACATTTGACCTTTCCAGAGTGTCAATCTTAAGGCCAAACTAACTCTCATCAGTAAAATTCCTCTCGCGATCATTTGTGGTTAGGGATATAGAGTATAAATTGGGTTTAGTGCTTCTTTTATTTGCTTTCAATGTGTCTACTTGGTTAAGGTGAGAAGGCAGTAGCTATTTCACATCGACCATCTTGGACTTGTAAAAAAAAAGTTCCCCCATTTTCCTTTTTTCAAAATATTAAGATGAGAAACTACATTTTTTTTTACTTGGCCTAACAACTGACCAATCAGAGCAGGGCTAGGAATTTTCCAAAAACATAATTGTTGTCCCACAAACACACGTGTTTACATACAATATTTACGTTGTCATTTTTTAAGTTCCAGGGGTTGCGCCAGGATCTGCCTGAAGGGGGTCCGGGGTCCCCGCTGGGGGGAGGTGCTATTCCCTAACAAGGAAAGCAGAGTGGGCGTGGCCAAGCGTCGCTTAAAAGATTGCGAAAGTGGTCCAGGGGGCAGAGTCCCCGAAAATTTTGACAAATTAGGGGTTTCAAAGACTTATGTAATGAATTTTAGCGACTACTAATATGTAGAAAATACATATTATTTTTTTTTCTCCCTGACGAATTGTGGTTTTTTTCCCCGATGGGGGGGGGGGAGAGGGCAGCTCTCTCTGACAGGGGGCCCTGGTCCCCTGCTGGTGCCACCCCTGGTGAGTCCTTAGCAAGGATACCCAAGGGGCAGAGGCTTAGCAGAAGGGTCCATTGTGGGGATAATTGCTGGTCATGGGTTTCTTATTACTATAAGCCCGGGTTCATAAAGCCTGTTTCCTTAAAATTGCTACACTGTCGCCGTATGGAAACCAAGCTTCACTAACAATCATTCAATCCATACATTTTGGTTTGGTTCATAAAAAGGTAAGCACGAAATAAAATCATGGTTAGGGCACAAAACTCAATATATTATACAATTTTTGGGGGATTCTTTATTATAAATATATATTTTGCGAAAAAAATATCTTGATTTGAGATATTTTGGGTCGGTCAGGTTTGGACAGCAGAAACAATTATTTAGCCTAATCATCATTAACATTATAGTTATAATATTTATTTTATTATGATTATTATAATTAGTAAAAATATTATTTCATATTATTATAGAGCAAAAACTATAAAATCTGTCTTTTAAAAATCTCTGAAATACATTCAAACATTATAAAAAATAATAATATTAATAATGAGAATAAATACCATTAATACTAATAATATAATTAACAATAATAATAATAATAAAATTCAAAATTATAATGAAAATTATAAAAATAGCAATCATAAAAACTATTAAAGAGAATAATAAAGGAAAAATGGTTATGTTTCTAATATTGCAACACTTTAATGATACAGTAATCTTTTTACCACACCATAACTAACTACCATTTCTGATTTTATTATATATTATTTAGTGGTGCTAAACAGAATCATTAGTATCTAGTTATACGTTAAAAGAGCTTTAAAATATAGTTGATGCTTTGTGAAAACTAAAAAGCATAATAAATATACTCTTGTTACACCAGCCTTAAACTTAATTCTGATTGGATGTTACTGTCCTAATCCAAACCTTACATACAATAACATCCAATCAGGAATCGGTTTAATACTGTGTATCAATAGCCATGCCTAATAAATAATTCATGACATATTTTGGCATTTCTGTGTTCTAGCTTTCTTGCATAACTGAATGCATATCACCACACAGAATTTCTAATCGTTGCGAGCGAGCTGCGAATTTCTGGGGATCCAATCCCATAACAGATGTAAGGCATGTGACTTCGCCATGTTGCATCAATCCGTACAGTCCACCTAGGCAGAAGAATGCTGAGGAATATAACAGAAATAATGAATTATTAATATATAATGTATTATATTTATATACCACATACATAGATTCCAGGCATCTGATTGGTTAAAAAGCAGGGTAATAACTTCAACCATCACTTCTATAACATAGGTTGAAATGATAGTTCATAAATTCCCAGGGAAAAAAGTACTATCACATTTATAGTAATTTTTTGTTCATATCGCAATGTAATCTCAAGCCCCACTTATAACGTCGCAGTGTAATTTATGACATTCACGGTGGTAAAGTGACTGTGACCTCTACGACAAGAGATTGGCCTTTTGACCGCCTAGTCTTAGGGCCTAGGCCTACCTGGTGGGTACTCGTTTCATTGCCTTTTAAGGCCTTGTAGAATCTATGTACGAGGTATATAAAACAAATATTGACTGCTTTTGATTCAAATGGTGACGTCTACAGTCCCCTCCTGCACCGAGACTGTAGTCTGAATAACAAACATGACATAAACGTACCTGCTCCTTCTGTGACCTCTGACATAGTGGTCAAACATTGAATCAAAGCACTTCCCAGTTCAATGGCCATGTCTTCAGGAACCTGCAAAAATTTAATAAATACGTATTCAAGTTATAACATTTATTAAAAACTTATTGTTCCTGAAAATGATGAAAACACAATAAAAATAAATTAACTTGCTCATAATATAAAAATTATCAACTTAAACACAGAAAAAACTTTTTATCCATACGTTTATTAATTTGTAAATTATATGTTAATTATTAATTCTGTTAGCATGTACAAGAGCATTCCTTGCTGCTTACTGGAGGGTCCAAAATTATTCCTTAAAATCTAAGGTGAAACAATAGGAGTCAAAACACCAATTTCAGCTGATTATCTGGGTTTTTTCGTGCTCGTCGCGACCACTTAGACACAGCTTGGGTCACACTCCTTTCTTCGGGACTCCACCCTCATCTAGTCTCCTTTAGTTCACAAGGGAACTTAGTCTTCTCATGGGAACATCCCATAATAGTACCTCACAAAGTTGAAAAGTTACATTTAGGTGGAATAATAAGCAACTTAAATATATTCTACAATGGTAAATAGTGTCCAATTAAGTAAGGTGTTTCAAACACTAACAATCAGTGAATTCACTTGATAAAAAGCAAATTGGAATATTAACATATTATAAATAATTATCGTTAGTATTGTTGTTATTTGTTTATAAGTTAAAAAATAACTTACAGCATGTTGTGCCAAGTTGTTAACTAGAGTCCCAGCAGCCTCGATAATCTCTAAATTGTCACACAGCAATGCCGGCGTCAACAACGCACATGTAATCTTACTGTTCTGGGTAGACACACCATTCAATGTCCACTCACGGTCAGAGATTAGCCAGCTAAAACCCTGTCCCCATTTGCATATATTACACAGCTATTTAAGGTAAAAAAAAAACAACACAGAGCTCAAACAACCATGCTCAACAAAAATCAAAGAGTATTATTGGGGTGTGGGTAGGGAGGTGACCCTTTCAATGATGCTCCCCAAAATTGTATGCTGGGATACTACTGTAGCTTTACCTAGGGGAGGATGGTGGAAGTTCAGAGTATGTCACCTCACCAGAACCCCCAATATAATAGTAAAAAGAAAATAGAAAGAGAGGGCACGGTAATAAAAAAAAAAAAAAAAAAATTAAATTTTATATTTCAAATTCCATGTTCAAGTATCTAAGGTAAAAAATGTCTAAAGCACAAGCGCCACCCCACCTGCTCGATGCTTTGCATGTTGCATGGCCCCTACCCAGATTTTTCTATGGTTCCTCTCCTACAATTATCTTTCTTCCTGTTAATTGTTATTGGTTGAATGATTGTATAGCACTTTTCCTTTTGGCCTTACGAAGCTCACCAGTACATTCCTCAAGAAGAGTAGGGGGCTACTGCAGTGTACTGGTCGATCCAGCCCCTGTCGTTATGGACGAACGAAAGTGCGCCACTCCGGGACTAATCGAATATGATGTGACAATTCAACTTAATTAAAGCTGCGGTAAACAAAAAGATAACATACCAACAGCAAGAAATCCGTCATTTGGGATACCTGTAAGATCCATTTCTTCATCCAGATACTTCCGCAGTGCATTTAGTGAATCTTTTTCTCCCGGTGACAAGATTCCGTCGGGCACATTCTCCAAAATGCATTGAACACATTCACCTGGCTGTAAAAATGTCAATGTAGTTAAACTTTGTCTAAACTATCAATTTATATGTCACAAATGGGTCATTCCGTAACAATTCAACATGGCCGCGGAAGTCACCTTCTCGGATTTTGTTTACATTTTTAGGATTTGGTGTAACTTCAGTCACTAATAAGAATCCAAATTTTCAGCTCGATCGGACCAATATTTACCGAGATACTGTTGTCCTAAAAAGTGGGCGTGGCATGCTTGAGCTCAGCTGGCATTGTCGTTATTTTGATTCTTTGATTTTTGAAGTCTCATAGCTTTTTTTCCTAAGTCACCTACAAAGCTGAAAATCACAGTACTTGCTCAACTTTTTGTGTAAGTTCAGATTCTGCACTATGAATTATGCTCCATCAAACATGGCTTCAAAATGAACGAATGAATGAATTTAAACAAAATCCAACAGTGGCGGATCCAGAAATTTGAAATAGAGGGAACCCAAAGGGGCTTTCTCAGATGGATAGTCTACACCATTTATGATTATAGCATTTCTAGATTTCTAGTTTAAAAAATTGAGTGCGGACCAGGCTGGCTCGGCCCAACTTGAATCTGCTGCTGTCTGAGATGGTGACATTCATGGCCATGTTGAATTGCCATGGAATGACCCAAATACTTGTGATCTGCCAAATATGAAAGTAGTATGGCATTACTCATATGCAAATCACAGATGTTTGTCACATACAACTTTAGTATAGATGGAGCTCAGAAAAAAAAAAAAAAAATTGGCAGTGGCTATAGTTACACTAGTCTTAAATGAATTCCTAATTATGACTGGATGTTATTCTTCTAATCTAATCCATACATACAATGACATCTAATCACAAAATAATTTGTTTAAAAGTGGTGTAAATGTAGTGGCACTGCCATCAAATTTAGAATGTAAAATGTTTGCAAGCATAGAATGCCAAATATAATTCATGGATGGATGGATGGATTTATTTGGTGAAAACACCAAGGATAACAAAGTTTGAAGAAAACATATTTCCATTGAGGTCCTTCTGGCGGTGATTGGGCAGTACATCGGGAAACAATCCCCTACTCTTTTCCAAAGAGTGTACTGTGTTCTTTAACGTGCACATGGGACCAACGGCTTAAATGTCTCATCCGAAAGACGGTGTGCTTTTGAAACTTCCATTTCAGCCCTCCAGCTGAAAGGAGAACAGCAATGGCAATTGAGCCAGGGACCAAGATATCTCCGTGGTTCAGCGGACACACAAAAGGGCTACCAATAGTTTACCCGACTGAGGTGGCTGCTCTTATTAGTTAGTTCTTGGATTTAAATAGGGAAGATAACAATGTAAACTATTACAAAATTATAGAAATTAATTACTAAAAAAGTACCCACCTTGGCATCTGTAAACAATTGTTTCTTGGATACCACTGGAAGTTTCGATTTTGAATCACTTATTGCAGCGCCCTCACTTGCCTTAATATCAGCAACAGCAGGATCACTGACCCCATTTATCGCAGGATCAGGATCAGCACCATTAAGCGTACTAGTACCATCAGTCTTCACTTGGTCCTTGTTATCATTGTCAGTAGCAATTGCACTGGCAGCTGAGGCTTGTGATTGGTCAGTATCCTGAAGGTAGCTAGGCTGCGGAACTGGCTCTAGGTATTCATTGGTTCTCGGCCGGATCGGATTTGCTGACATGGAGTCTATTAAAGGCTTAATCAAGGCACCAAGTGGCCTGGAATTTGAAAAATAAGAAAATCGGTTGTTTTATGTTAATGCCTACTCTTTAAAAATTAAGTTTACAAATTCTTTAAATTCCTAAATCTTAAAAAGAAAGTGAAAATCATCATTAAATAATATAATAATAATATCGATTTTGTGGAATGTTAAGCGTGGATTTCACAGTATCACATGCAATACATTATTGACAACTGGTTATGGAAGTAGCATACTACAGAAACAGGTCTTGGGGTTGTTTGCAATAAAATAGTTATACTGGTACTTAAAAAAATCATTAAATACAGTCATGTATAACAACCCAAATAATGTGCAAAAAAAAGGATGTTAAGCTATAAAGTTTTGTATACATAATTACTCATGTGCATATAAAATGTGTGTGTAGTATTGGAGAAGAGTAGATGGATTGTGTCACAGTGTACTAACTAATTAAATTTGTTATTGGCATTTTTTGGCTGCAAACTAAAACCAAATAATGAATCAGGAGTTATGTGCAGAACTCACGTAGTCAGAATCTCTTGCGGAAGACCTGTGATGTAGTCTGGGATTTCATTGCCCGTCAGAAACTGAGCAACCTCGTTGCTAAACGTGTTACAATTGTGTTCAAACAGATTGTACTTTTCACCACTATCAAGATAAAAATTAAAACATAAAGAATAGAGTAACAAATAATGGAGTAACCAGCAACAATGACTACAATGTCATTGCAACAGCATGATTTTAAAAGAGTAGAGTTTATACTTTTAATGTGAGAGATAAGCCACAACTCCACTCTATTAATTCAGTAAACAAATAACAATTACAGTTAGTAACAGCATCACCACTCTAAACTACATTTTCTACATGAAAAATATTTTTAAAGTTGAAATTACAAACCAAAACATTTCTTCACGAAGATTTGACATATATTCATAGAACAACGGATAATCAAGGTAGGTCTCGCCAAGGTCCAGAACACTGTCAGGGTTTCCAAGAATCGTCCCACACTGGAAAAAAAAAGAATATATTTCTTAAACAGAGCTTTAGAAATTCAAATTAATTTATTAATCAATCAATCAACAATCAATCAAATACATACAAAAAACACACAGACTCAACAACACACACACAAATGCGAAGATACCTATAATCAAAATCGAGAAATAAATGCAGTAAAACTTGCCTATCAGTCGACTTTGTCTAACTTAAATAATTTCCAAGACGATCTTATTTTACATGCCAAATTGTTGTGTTTTTGATTAATTAACGATCTGTAAGTCAAATTTTATCTAAGTTGAGCATTTTTTCAATGCCATTTTGGATTTGACTTAGGCAAGTTCAAATGTATTGAATATTTTGAAGATTTGTTAACACAAACTTGTTATGAAATGTATTCCGAATCTTTTTATAAATTCCAAATAACTAAAACTTACAGGTCTGCAGGACTCTATTCCGCCACCACCATAAAAATATTCCCTGGCAAAGACAACGATTGAGGTGTGCCATATCCCATCAAGCTGCTTACCTGTGAAAGATAATCTGCTATTAGGCCAAATTAAAAAACAAATTAGTTTTATCATCCAATCTGATTGATTGTACATACACGCATAATCTAATAATAAATATTATAGGGGCTATTGGATTCTTCTAGAACCTTCTAAAGTTTTAGTCAGCAGTGTAATTAAATTCCTATTGTTAAAACCTGGTTTCCAATGATGTAACAGTTATAATTTCTTGTTAGGATTTATATGACTCTTACACAAAGTTGAAATAACCCTGACATCAACAAAATTTGTCTTCATGATGTCGGGAGTCAACTTTCGTATCAGAGACGTAACACAACACAATGCAAGCGTGTTCATTCAAGCATAAATCTCTAAATCACGGTTTCCAGTCTGATCGTCTAAAATTTCAATACGTTGATTTATTGTTCAACATTGTTCTGCACCGATTTAACCTTACATTACGTTAATCTCACAATGCACTCTCCAGTCAAAATTGGTTTCCTTTATAATCGCATTTTGTTAAGATAAAAGGACATAGTCATAGGGCTGCCTTCTTACTACACATCGACACCAGGCTTAACCCAGCAAACACAAAACGTTCTTATAACGTTTGCGAACGTTGTGGTTAGGAATGTCACTTAATAATGTTCGCATAACGTTGTAACAACGTTCAAACCTTGTGAGGTTGTGAAATTAGGTTATAAGTACGTACGTATGGTTCTACAAAATAACGTTTTTATCACCAAATTGTAACATTCTTATCTTAGAAAGTAATATTGTTAGCTGGGAAGTTACTGACTGACTGCATTCAGCGCTCTCAAATATTCCATAAATTTGTGGTTCAGAAAAAAAGTAGTAATCATAAACAATGCATTTGATAAATTACCTGCATAAATAAAGCCAATATTTATTTTTATAACCTCTCATATATATTGTTTTATTTATGTCACAGATATGTAACTTTATGGATTTTTACGGTGATAAATATTCATAGGCCTAGCCTAGTTTTGTTGAATCAAGCAGGGTGGTTGAATCATTATCCAAATCAATGTTTGCACTTTTCTCAAAAATTAGCTTTTTTATTCACTGACGGAAGCAGCTTTGCAAATTTCGTACTCTAGTTTTCTTGCAAGGTCGTCCAGAAGTGATATTAGGCCTAGATGAAACCATCAGAATTCACAAAAGCGATTTCCATGGCTAGCCTAGGACTTATTCATTACTACTGTAGAAAGCCTAGGCCCCCTATTCGCCTTTCATCACGCCCACACAAACAAGTACTTTCCTCCTCCTGCGAATACTTACCGAGGAATGCCTGGGACATCGAACGGGCTATACCTTTGGTCAAGTCGTAAACATACAGCTTAACTTGATGTGCTCTCACTTCTTCGGCACTCATCTTGTTTCACCGGTATACGGGTAACAATCAGACAAATAAAGAATGTTCTTTCAAATGTTTTCTGGCTATAATTGCGACAATAATTGACGAAATAAATGAAATACCATTGCACCCGATCACTTGTAAACACAGCTCCAAATTCGGATGGTCATGCTGAGCCACATTTACGCCGTAACCTACTGAAAAAATACTGACCTTGACGACCTAAGCTGTTAGAAATATTGATTAGATTCGATTACCCATGGAGAAATGGAGTAGGCTTAGAATTGCGTACAAATGGAAATTATTTTACGAAGGTTAGATCAATGCAAGATTTTTTATTTTATTTTCTGAGTTATATAATAATTCAATTATCATAATCTTAAATATAATAATTTAATAAATTTTATAATAATAGCCATACTAATGGATCTTTCCAGGGTGTCAATCAAACGTAACAACCAATCATAACAAGGCCATGAATATACGCACGCGTCTAACAAGCACACGCGTTGGGTGCGTATGCTTTTACACTGTCGTTTTGTGGGACTAGCAGAATAGTAATCCAAAGGTCGGGGCTATGCGGAAAGGTCCATGATTTTATAAGTCAATAGCCATATTTTAATGTTAGCACTCATCAGTTGCTATAGTGATGATCATACTATACGTATTAATTAAAATAAAAATAAAAATTAACATGTTTTCACTTTGTTCTTTGTGATCTGTTTGTTCTCTTCCTGCTGTTTTGACACTGCGCCTTGAGCACCTATTTTTGGTGGTGATGTTTGCGCTTTAAAAATCGTTATTATTATTATTATTTATTAATATTATTATTATTTATTATTACAGTACGTATTACATTTAGATGTGCGTATGTGGATTCGCTGCATGCGCAGTAGAGGAAATGTGTCCAAACCGGCCCCCACCTGTTCTGCCCGCCACCAATTGTTAGGACAAAAAGTAAGAGTCAAATGATGTCATGCAGTTTGATCCATCCAAGTTTCATGATGTAGTTGGAGTCATTTAAACTCTACGACAAAGTACCAAATTTCGCTGCTTTCCTATGTTTTTTTTTCTTGGAATGTCAAGCTGAAATTGAGTATTTCTTTATTAGTAGTTACTTAACAACATTAATTATATTTGTGGCAGTCAACTCACCATTTCCAGTCTCCCCCTACAAACTCACCCACTAACAAACTTGCCCATCAAATGACTTACCGGTACTAGTTCTACAGAACTACCGTAGTCAGTCACATGTGGAAACATTTATGTTGATAAATGTTTTTATATTGTGTCTGTCGTTAAATTGTATAATGAGTAGCTTGAAAACCAAAACGTCATACAAATTTATTCCATCTTATATCATTAGAATAAATTTATATTCGTAATTATAATAATTTACCGACAGAACCAATATAAAAAACCTGTTTATCATCATCAATGCTTCCACTTCGCACTTGTTCTACAGCTAGAATGCAATTTATATGTATCTGTATTTGTAAATTTTGTTTTTTTTTTATATTGTTTCTGTCCTCAAATTACATAATGACTATAGCATGAAAACAAACAAAACATCATAACTTTATTCAATCTTATTATCATTGGAAAAAATGTATGTTCATTATTAAATATTTTACCGACAGAAACAATATAAAAAAAACCTGTTTATCATTATCAATGCTTCAACATCGCACTGACTTAGTTCTACAGAACTAGAAAGCAATTTGTTAGGGGGCGAGTTTGTTAGTTATCACCACCAGAAGTACCCCACTGGAAATAAGTCTTCTTCTAGACTTTCGTGGGCTATCCTCTGTGTTTACACCAAATAAATCCAATCTAATAAAGGAACACAAGAAAGTTATCCAGACTACTGTAATCATTTATTGTGTCTACAGTTATTACATTTACATTTTATGGTATATATATGTCTTGGTAAATTTTTGATATAAATGTTAATACCATTTTTAAACTTAAAGACATGTTCCATAAGAATGATGAAACATCATATGAAAAAAAATTGAAATTAAAACTGCTCATTTTGAAATAAAAAAAAATTATCAACTGAAGCAAAGAAATTAGTGTACCATATCTCAAAATTGTTTACCCATAATTTTACACTGAATAATTATAAAATCATTAGAAAAAGTTAGTGAACAGTTGGTTTAGGGATGCACTAGAGTGGTGGAGATGGTAATCCCAGAAGATTTTTATTTTTCTTTTGTGCTAGTTTGGTTTCATTCATTTCATTGTGTTTTATTACCGTACTGTACCACACTTTTTTTAAAGTAAAGTGCATAGCAACTTTATCAGTGGTAGCACCAGAAATTGGCCAACAGAAAGTCCAAACCAAGGACCTGACAAGAGCCTCGGTCCAGGTTCCAAAATAAGTTAGTTATAATAAGTTAGTTCACATGGGAACTTTTTATGGCTTATATGTATATGGCCCAAATTGTGATTTTAGACTAAAATATTAGGGATTGGCAATCAAAATAACATTATTTGGATAGGAAAATTATTTAAACAAAATTGTTTATCCAACAACCTTGCCATAGCGTCGGACAACATGGAGGTCTATAGGCCTGTCCGACAGGAGAGAAATGCCATCCCTGCCCCCTGCTGGCACCACCTCTGTGTGCTATAGGGGTGGGCATAGAAATGTGTCGAAGGCAAAAGTGAATTTTTTTATTTAACACTGAGGGCAGCATCCAAAATTTGATTTTCCAGATCCAAAAACCTTCATGGAGTGCTTTTATACCACTTTATGCTCAGTTATTACTTTTTACAGATGATTGGTTCCGGGCTGTAAAAAACTAGAGGTTTCTGGCCAAAGAAGATTGGCGGGCCACCCACACACACATAGGGTTTATGATTTATTTTCGTGGCCACAACAAAATCACTGTTGGGCCACATGTGGCCCGGAGCCAGCACTTTGCCCATCTGTGTACTATAGAATTAACTCAATTACAGTATGATTTCCTTAGTTTATTATCATCTTTATCAAGTTTCAGGTTGAAAGCCAATTTCGAAATTTGAAAAAATGTATTGCTAATCTTCTCCCTTCGACCCTTTTTTAGCCCGTAGTTTCATAATCCAAAAATACAAAGATGGCCACAGATTCCGGAGATGTACTGCAATCTTGTGGTCAATTGGGCCTAATATCACATCCTTTTCCTTGGTTGCAACAGCCCAGAGGATCCGTTTAGCTATATACTCGGTTGACATGCCGCTGGCGGTGGTTGAATCCATAACTGAAACAAAATAGCACGGTATGTGTAAGTTCAGATACAATAATCTATAAGATACTCTCATTAAATAAGTTTAGAAATTGCTTATTTTTAGTCATAAGAAAATAATTCCAACCAGCTGCAAGATTTGGAACATAAACCTGGGACTGGATGTTTTTTTCCTAAAGTATTATTTAGGTTGATTTGATTGGTTGCAACAAAAGGTGTGATTGATTATCATACTTTGTTTACATTCTGTAGTAGGAAACTTGGTTATCCGCCTCTGAGTTTCTTTCTTGCCATTTTATAGGAGTTTTATAGAGGACAATCAAATGTCAAGCAGGGTGTTTTTAGAGTAGATATAGATTGTAGACTAGATGGGAGTGCCTGTAAGCTACAGAGGTAGAGGTAGGAGAATAACCTATAGCTCACAGTGTCATTGTGCTGAATATGGGTACGTGTGGTCTGTGACCACAAGGAACAAAGCCGGACGCTCATAGTGCTCGTCAGTCGTCGCCAATGCCGTCAGTCGTCGCCAATGCGATTCTATGGCGAACGCAATGCCATGACACACACGCAACTGATTGTTTTTTAATGATGATCTGATAAGACTGCCACCGAAAATCGGCAGGCAGTGTTGCGTCATCTAGCGCTCACACGGAGCAGAGTTTGATTTATCGGTCAACGGTCATACAACGCAGTGGGCGGCCGGTTTTACCAATGATTACCTCCATGTCGTGATCCATCGCTACAGACTGCATTCAGTGAGAGATTTGTGTTGATGTAACTAGGACTTATCACAGTCACTGCAATGTTAGAATCTGCAACTTCTGCACGGAGGCTATCACAGAAGGCCTGCAAAGCAAATTTGGAGGCTGTGTCTGTAACAAAATAACAAAATTTAACTTTAAATTAATCATAAAAATCATATGAACTTACAGATTTCTGAACTGAGTTTTTAAAAGCTTTTTGGATAAAGCAATTTCCTTAGTTTCAACAAATTACCTTAGGAAGACAATTTCATAAATTAGGCAAAACTACTTTAATACCTTGTATCCCAAACTTATTGTTTTAAAGATTGTCAGAGGAAGGCAGAAAAATGCTGTTTTCTTATTTAGCATATAGTTTTGCCAAAAACATCCAGATGTAGGAGAAAATAAAAACAAAAAATTATTGCTGAATATAAACATTGTAGAATGGGATAGTTAAATGCTTTAAATTCATATAATTAGGAAGAAATATGCATATCTTATTTTTGAAGATTTCACAGCAGTGGCGGGCGTAATAAAAATAAATAAATTTTTCCTGAATTTCCCATTTTCTATGGTGACACGTGTGCTAATTGGCCAAAAAATAAAATGTTATTTTTATTCAAAATTATCATTATTGGTTGGCGACGGGTTTGCTAAACAAGGAAAAAAAAGTCTCGCCTAAAAGTAGACTGAAAATGTTTCTGATTTTATTACACGAATGTACACTGCAGTAATCCCAGACACCCACCTTGATTCTGCAAAATTTAATTAACAAATTGATAAATATAATAACAATGTAATAATAATAATATACGCACATGCTGATCTAAATGGAATTGCCATCCTTCCTTGGATGCTGCTCACAGCAACAATATGGCCTGAGCCTTCATAGACCATTGACGACAGTAAAGCTGGAATGAATAACACCATTTAAAAAAAAGTAAATTTAATTATAAAAGCAATAATAATACATTACTGTTTTGTTCTTTTTGTTATTATAATTATAATAAAAACAACAACAAAATATAAATAATACTAATAATATAATATAAAAAAAACAATAAGCTTTCCTAGTTTATTTATCCACTACGTGTATGTATGGGCATTTATACAGTTGTGAGAGAAAGTGCTTGGGGTTGAATCTGCATGTCCTATAGGTCTCCGTGGTCTAATGGATACGACACTTGCCCTGACAATGACAGGCTACACTTTTGAATCCCGCCAGAGACACTTTACTCATAAAACTTAATCAAAAGAAACCTTTTGTTGAAGGGCTATGCTTGATACGATTATTATTTATTCATTTGTTTATATTGTGTTTACAGTGCTACGCAGCAAAATCAATTTGTGTGAGTGTGTATATATATATATATATATATATATATATATATATATATATATAT